GTTCCTTCGATTGGGAAATGCTCATCTTCCTCAAAAGCCTTTCTGGCTGTTTCCACACAGTTATTTTATGATAGCTACCCATCCTAAGCCTGCACATTGAAAGGCATGCCCTGCCCTAGTTCTCAGTTCGGTCGTTCTTGCTTTCCTGCGGCCGACTCCCACGGCTTCTCCCTCAGCTATTATTCATTGTGAGGGCTGGGAAGTGAGCCCTGTACAAACATCAGCTGCCAGCGATGGCTAACTTAAGAACGGTGTGGATTTGGCCCGTGTCAATCTGTGAGCAACTGAACCTGAACTGTTTGAGAGATCCATTAACTGCTTCCTGGTCATTTAATGGCCTGGGTCTTAAAAACGATACTGCCTTCTCCTACTTCCGATGCCTATCCTGTTTGCCCTTCTGAATGAGGATTAAGCATGTTCCTTAGGGTTCTCCTTGTTGTTTAGCTTCTTTAGGACTATAGATTTTAGTATGTTTATCCTATATTATATGATTAATATCCACTTATAAGTGAGTATACATCATATGTGTTTTTCTGCTTCTGGGGGAACCTTCCACAGAGGACCTCTTAAAGACTCTATCCACCAGGGTATCAAAGAGGATACTGAGACTCATAGCCAAACTTTGGCCAGAGTGCCAGAAAGAGCTGGAGAAGTCAGAATCTCCACAAGGAAAACAGAACCAAAACACCTGGGTCCAGGGGGCCTGCAGGGACCAATACTCCAACTTAGGACCACACATGGAGAGGACCTAGACCCCCTGTTCAAAGGAAGCCCATTGGCTATTCAGTTTCCAAGTTGGTTCCCTAGTAAAAGGTACAGGAGCTGTCTCTGACATGAACTCAGTGGCTGACTCTTTGAATACCTCCCACTGGGGGTGGGGGTCCAGCCTTGCCAGGCCACAGAGGAAGATGATGCAGCCAGCCTTGATGAAACCTGATAAGCTAAGTTCAGATAGAAGGGGAGGGGATCCTCTCCTATCAGGGGACTAGGGAAAGGGCTAAGGAGGAGAAAAGGAAGGGTGGGTGGGACTGGGAGGAGATAAGGAAGGGGGCTGCAGCGGGGATACAAAGTGAATCAATTGTAATAAATAAATATACAAATAAAACTAATTTAGAACAAAAACAAACGAAACAAACAAACAAAAAAAAAAACCATACTACCAGAGTGTTTGCCTTGAGCTAACTTGTTTCTAAGATGCACTAGATTCACTGGTTCTAAGCCCCTGTTAGACTGAGAAAGTGGAGGGCTCCAGGCTCAAAATGGTTCTGTACCCATAATCTATTTCTGCTCTGCTTTTCCTCAAGGAAGAAGCACATGCCCTTGCTTCCTTTCCTGGTATCTACACATGGTTCTCCTGTGCCCTCCACAAATTCCTGCCCAGTTGCTTAGGCCTAGGCACCAAGTCAGCTCCTCACCTCTCACGGACTTCTTTCCAAGCACACATCCACCCTGCCCACCAAAAAGAGGCCTTCTCTCAGCTTCCTTCTATGAAAAAACCTGTTTTTCATTCAATATATTTCCACCATGTTTTCCCCTTCCCCCCAATTTAATGTTCTCTCTCTTGCTCTCTCTAAAAAAAAAAAAGGCAAAATAAAACAAAAAGTCCACAAAAATACCACTGAGTCCATTTCGTGTTGGCCAACCACTCCCGCGCATGGGGTATGGCTGAGGCACCCAGGACCACACTAATGGAGAGAGCTGATCTCCCCTTTGCAGATAGGTTCTTGGGGAGAGGTGGAAGGATGTGTCCACTTCCCCCTCAGTGCTGGGACCCCACGTGGCCTGACCTGTGCAGGCTCTGCGCAGGCTGCCTCAGCCTCTGGATGGGTTCATGTGTACGTACGTGTGTCAGTCGTGGAGTGAGTCATCTATCAGCTCTGGCTGCCTGGAGGGGAAGGTCCTCCGGCCTTAATCCCCTTCACTTCACTTGCCAGCAACCAAGTGTGCTCCTCTCGGTTTCCTCATGGAAAGCCTGTGTCCACTCGGAGCTTTGGCTACCTGTGTGCAGCTCAGCCTGTGTTCTAAAGTGCTACTGAAGACACTTTCTAAGCAATCCCCTCCTCTTTCAGCACCTGGGACCCTCTTCACCTTGGTTACTCCTTGCATCCCTAACTTTTCTAACAAGGACGCTCTTTCATTAGTCTTACCCTAGTCAGAGTCCCACCATCATCTTTCTCGCCAGTTCCCCTCAAGAGCTCCACAATGGCCTCCTTCTCAGGGTTCCCCCTCACAGTACTCCCCAGATCACTGCTCTTGAGCTGTGTATGAGCTAATATCCCTGCAGAGCTTCCCAGTGGCAAGTTAGGTGTGGTGGATCACACATAAGCCCAGCACTGGGGAGGCAAAGACAGGAGGATGGTGGGTTCCAGGTCAGCCAGGACTACTACAGGAAATGCTCCATCAAAGAAAACCAATAACCAAAACAACAACAAAGTCATGTCCCGTAGCTTCCCAGAGTCCATAACTAAAAAGGAACATCAAAGGCCTTGAGGCCCTCAAGGGCTCAACCCCACCTTCCAAGCCAGGCAGTTTATGCTCTGGGGTTTCTAAACTAATTTCTGTGTTCTGTCCCTAGAACGCTGAGTCAGGAAGCAGTTCTGCAAGCCTTCTGACTAGAACACCCTGCCCTAATCCTGTCCACCTGACTGACTCCCCAGGCATCTTTTCTTGCTAGTCCACTCAGGCCCACCAAGCTAACAAGGCCTTCATAGGCGTCTACTGGCTACTGAATCTGACCCATGCATGGCTCTGAAATGAGGAGTGGGCTGGGGGTGTGTGGGGGTCCTTATCCTCTTTCAAGTACTACTCCAGCAAATCAAGTCCTGGAACCTTGCCCTGCAGGTAGGAAGCACTTTTTTCACATGTTAAATTCTCTGGAGCACAGAGACTTCTCTGGGCAGTAGTCTCGGGGTCCTGAACAATGGAAATGTCACATTAACAATTATAAAGGCTACGAAATGGCAAGGCACAGGAGTGCTTCGTAATAGCAGCACTGATATCAAGCACCTCCTCCACTTCTTGCATTAATTTCCAAAGGTTTTCCCCTTCTTTACTGGCTCTAGAACAGAACAGCACTTAAAGAGTTTCGATGGACCAAATATTAACCAGCCTCCAACGGACGACTGACTTAAAAATAGCCCTTGACCTGGAAATATAGGTGTGTTCAAATACACACCCTGATAAGAAAGGACACACAGAGGATACAGCTCAACAGCACCCAAAGCTCTGCAAGTCAGGGGCTCCTTGAGAGCGGACTCCAGAAGTGCAGGAGTATTTCAGCACAGTCCGAGCACGCTCGCCCTTGTCTCGAGAAAGCTTGACAGAACGAGGGATGGGCACTTTTCAACTCTGGAAAACCACCTCCACAAAGACCTGTGTCAACGACAGCTGTTGACACAGCATTTCTAAACAAACAAGCAAGCCGGGTGGGGTAAACAAGTCCCCGAGGGAGAGGACGCCTCTAACAGAAGCCGTTCCTATTTCACATACATTCCGGTGTTTAAAACAAAAAATACATACATAAAGCTCAGAAGCTGTTTTGTGAAGCTGTTTTGTGCACTGTTTCCCGTTTCCAGAACATGTTCGGTCTTAATAAGAGCTTCCTCCAGTTAAGGAAGCAGACATGAGGAGGCTGTTATTTCCTTGATTCTAAAGGATACCAGTGCTAAAACAAAATCCCAACCTAATTGATTCTATTTTTGGTCGTTTCCAAGGCAGTTCTCAAAAGCCTGTTGTCAGCCCTTTGCTTCCAGTTTTCAGCCTTCCACACCTGGAATTTTGTAATTCCAAGGAATTGTGTGTAATTCCTTGGCACATACATATTTACCAGGCTCTCCTCTTCATACCTACGTAGAATAGGAAAGATGCTGACAACCCACTGACTCTAAAGTTTTGGTCCTAAAATCACGTATTTATTTCTTCCATGTTATTGTAGCACAGATTTAGAACTCAAGCTCTATCAAGTTCATCAAATGTAAGTTTCTGAAGGAACTTTTTCCCTCAAGCATGCTGCCAGGAGTGTCAGAGCAGCACAAGGCAAAACACAGAACGGAAAAGCTAGGTTCTGCTACCAAAAAGCAGTGAACCTGACCTTGGGCCATCCGAGTCTGCGCCAGCCCTGAGCTTATAACAAAGCTGAGAACGATCCTGGTGGTCCTCACCTCCACATCTCCCTCCCCACAAGTGCTGGGACCACAGGCGTTGGCCACCGCTCCATCTTCCACAAAAAGAATTCTACGAATGACTCCAAAGTTTTGAGTTTCTAAAGCGAAGTGGAATTCTGTCAACATAAACTTTTACAGCAAATTATTTCTCCGGCCCAATTTCCCAATCTACCTAGTTCACGCAGTCATAAAACTCTTATTTTTTTTTTAAATCCTCCAAAAGTTCGTATTGGCATGGATTTATCAGGAAACACACCTAAACTCTTGACTCTTTCTAGCGTGAACTATAATAGCGACGTGTATATTTTTAAATACGAAGCAAGGTTAATCTACTTTAAAGTGGGGGGGGGGGCGGTGAAAAGTCGCGCATTAGCCTGTTTGGAAAAAAAAAAAAAAATGCACGGGCGGGACAACTGCTCTGCCTGTGGGGCACACACACGCGGTTCCCCCGCAGGCAGCATTCAGCCCTCCGAAACCCATCAGCCGGGAGAAAGAACAGAGAAACGAAAGCGCAGCTTGGAGCGGCTCCAGAAGCCGGTCCGCTCCGGGCTCCAATGACAGGCGAGAACCCGAGGTGCCTGTCTTAAGTTCACTCCCAACTTTGTCGCCCCGCGGAGGAAAGGCGAGAGAGGCGGACAGCCGGGCGCCCGCGGTGACGGGTTCCACCCTGACCCCAGAGCGAGGGGGCCGGGGGTGGAGAAGCCAGAGCGCAGTCGGGTTCAAGGGCGGCAGTCCCCAGCCGCGCACGCCCCGGGGGCGGGGGGGACGCGCAGGACCCCCCGCGGCACGCCCGCTCCAGGGGCGCGGCCCGGCCCCGGCCCCGCCGCACTCGCTCACTTTGTCGCTGGTGCTCTCGGTTTCGTGGTCGCCGCCGGCCGCCTCTCCCTCGCGGGGTGGCGGCGCCCCCGCTGCCCCGTGGCCGGGGCAGACGTCGCGGTGCCGCAGCTCCAGCATGTCCCGGTCCCGCGTCGCTGGGCCGGCGTCGTCTAGAGCCCCGCCACCGCGGAGCCGCGCCGGGTCACCCCCAGAACGGCATCAACGAGCGAGCGCTCGAGGCCGCCGGCGGGGGGTGCGGGGCGGCGCGGGCGGGGACGCGGCGCCGTTGCCAGGTGCGCGGCTGCACGCACCGGCCCCCAGAGGGCGGACGAGCGGCCCGGCCCTCCCTCGCGCCTCGCGACCGCGCCGCCCGGTCCGCCCGCCCACCCCACCTTCCCGCCGCCCGGCTCCCGCAGCGCCGTCACGCGCCGCAGGCCCCGCCCCGCCCGCCCCTCCGCGCTGCACTGCGGTGCCCGAGGCCCCGCCCCGGGCGATGACGTCACCGCCAGGGTCCCGCCCCGGGCCCCCGCGCAGGTTGGGGGGGGGGGGGGCGGGGCTCGGAAAGGTGCGCGCGGGGCCTGGGACCCGGGGCGAGCCTGGGGCCGGGAGACCGCGGAGGCGAGCCCGGGCGACGGGAAGCCCTCGGCGGCGCGGGATGTTAGACGGAGCTCGGCCGGCTACTTTAGACTCGGCCCAGCCTGACACGCCGCCGCGGCGTGGCGGAGCCTCGCAGGCGTCCCCAAGCAGAAACTTGCCGGGCAGGACCGACCCGTTGGCTCTGTGTTCCACCCGGTGCTTTGCCCGCCCGGTGCCTGCGGATTGAGTTGGCCAACAGTTTCAATCTCGTCCCCAGGTTCTGTACTGGGAAAACTCGAGTTTTTGTTGTTGTTGTTGTTTTTTAATCACACGCAGTGTTCTACCATAGCGTCCCGGAGAGCCTTTGATGCCCTGGGGTGCCGCGCTGCAAACTCTGTCTCTGAAAGACAAGGACCTTGGGACAAGAACAGGATGGACACATGATCTGTATTAATTCTAGTCTAATCCTGTTAGCAGGTGCTTAGTTTTCTTCACATGCATTTGCAAGCTGGTCCTTAAAGGCCAAAGTCATGCACACTTAATTCACGCAAACCGGACAGAGGGGCACCTTTATTGTAATAAGCCAACAACTTTAGGTCATTACTGACAAAGTAAAAATAAGTAATGTGTTGTTCTTGAATTCTAATAACTAACCAGCAAAAACAAACGACAGAGTAGACTGCAATGAGAAACAGCAGCCCACATTACCTTGCCTGGACAGACACATCTTTAACGTCCTCAAGTTCACTCAGGGTTGTCCCAGCTTCATTTTCCAACAGGGTGGAGAAATTTGTTCTTTGTAACTAGAACGTTGAAGGGAAAATGATGGTTAGAGGGTCACACAGGACACTTGCAGCCAAGCCTGACGACCCGAGTTCAATCCCCAGGCCCTACGTTCATGGTGGAGGTAGAGAAAGTTGTCCTCTGATCTCCACCCTGACACCCACACACGTAAAAGGATAAATCTCATTTAAAACTAATGGGAGATATGAGAGTAAGTCCTGTGTGTGATGGGTGTGGTGTAAGGAGCAGGAGACTTTGAGGAATTAGATTAATTGATTGTTCTACTCTTTTCTTTGAAGTACTTCCTGACAGGAAGGGAAAATGTCAGCAGAAGAGGCCACACAAGGCTGTGGTGGCTTGGCTCTTTGGCTATAGGTCCTTCCCAGCAGAAAGGAGGACCAGGGTTCCTTTCAACTTTCTTCCAGGAAGTTGAGGAGGCAATGTGCTAGCCCCCGTGGTGCCAATTTTCTCTGTGGCCTCTAGTGAGGGGGTGAGCCTGTGACCCCATCTGGAACATGAATAGGAAGGAGGGTGGCCTTTCGGTCCCTTCTAGCAGAGACAGTGTCAGGCTCTAGCCCTTCCTTACGCTGGCATAGGAGATTAGGTCAACACTTCTCTTTCCCTCCCCCGTCAAGGCCTCAGTTCTCTCCCTTTGCCCACTGAAAGTGGCATGAGAGAAACCGGCAAGTGTGACAGTGTGAGTGTGTCACCCCACCACCACCACCACCACCACAGAAGAGGGACAGTGCAGCTACCACAGTGCTCCCGCCCTTCCTGAAGCTCTCCACTCCCTGTGTTTCGGCTGAGCTGGTAATTCATTTCTGTCTTCATTATAGTTATTGACTTCAGTGGAATGATTGATAGAACCACAGACTAAGGTCTCGCCGCAGAGACAGCCCCTACCCTCAGACAGTCAGCAGTGTTTGTTGAAGAAGTGAATGAAGAAACAAGTGCACAGAGAGCTATAGCCTGGTAGGAAATTATTTAGTGTTTATGTCTTGAGTTTTATGTTTTGACTTATATGGTGTGATAGCTATTCTTTGTTGTCAACTTCTGGAGTTAACTAAAACCCTGCTGAGGGATCTTTCTTGATTGGATCATTTGAGCTAGGAAGACCGACCTTACATCTGGCCCACACCTTCTGGTAGCAGGCTCTGTAAAGAATAGGGAAGAAGGAAGCTCGTGCTGTTTGTTTGTTTGTTTGTTTGTCCTTGCTCCCACTGGCAAGTTCCTTTCTTCACTGCTATCACAGCCTACTTTCTTTGGGATTCCTGAGTAGACTGAAGACCAGCTGAGACATCCAGCCTCAAGGTCTAAACAACTTTTGTGTTCATGGACTTTCCATCAGGAGACAGCCATTGCTGAAATATTCAGAACACAACCTGTAAGACACTCTAATAATCTCATTTAGATACCTAGATGATTGATAGATAGATAAATGATGGATAGATAGATAGATAGATAGATAGATGATAGAGAGGGTCAAATAGATTCATTCTGTTAGTGCTGTTTCTCTAGAAAACTCTCACTAATACACATGACTATCCACTTTTCTTCATTTTTTACTTTACCTGTAAAAAGAGATTAAGTTTAACATGTACTAAAAGAAGTTTTAGTAGTGATTGTGTAGTTTATTTAAAATACGTTACGATGTATTCAACCATAACTGGCTTTCTTGCACTTTATGCTTGCAGACCTTCAATGCCTTTTTTCTTGTCCCCCTTTTTTTTCATTTTTTTATTTTTCTTCGCTTACTGAATTTGTGTTCTATGACACCAATCTGACATGTAAGGATCCCCAAGCCTCCCCTGTCCCTCTTGCCTGACCTGCTTGGAGGGCTCCCAGGAATCAGTAAGTACATTGGAGACACTGTGCCAAGACCCTCTTCTTGGCTAGTTTGAAGAATTTCCACTGCACTGGCCTTGGAGTTCCTAAGCCTTGAGAGATTTGCTGGAGTTTGAAGTGAGTAGTGATGTTATTTCTGTGGTGTCTATTTCAGCTGCGGTTTTAGCTTATCCCAATAACAGGAACAGGAAATGCAGAGACCTTCTACTGCTTCGCCATGAACTGCCTCCCAAGATGCCAAGATTTGGTAAAGTCTCCCTCTTAGGTGGGAATTTGAGCTTGCTATCCACAACAAAGGTTCTGTGACACTTGGCTGTACCATCCCCAGCTTGTCAAGGGAACTAAAACTCTGCCTTGCCAAGTGTTTCTGGTTGCCTGGATACCCTTCCTATAGCTTTTGTGGTCTGACCTATCTTCCCTGCTGCCTCTGTCAGCTCTCTCTGTAAGTTGAAGGTATTTTTGATCTAAGGGAGAAGGAGGCAAACTCGAGAGGTGAGAGGAAGGTAAAATTACAATATAGATGGCTTAAAAGGTGAGAAGAAAGCATATGATTAGCTAGTTATCAAAAAAAAGAAAGAAAAACCCATAATACGTGTAATTCAGTATATAAATATGTATATATGTGTATATGAATATATGTGTGTGTGTATGAAGCATATGTCTCTTTGCAACCAGATGATACTACTACATCAAAACACAGTCAATGTGGAGAGCTTTAGGGCCCAGTCCTCGCGGACACACCTACAAAACACTCCAGCCCTTAAAGCTCAGGGACACTGAGGAAGAGGGAACAGAAAGGCTGCAAGAGCCAGAGTCTCGGGGGAGTTTTCTGTGAGACTGTGTCTCCCAGAAACATTAGAAGCGGCACCCATGGAGTCTCACCAACAATACTGCTCAAGTGTGAGCTGAGCAAGGAAGATACCAGCCAGCAGGCCAAACAGCACAGAGAAAAAGCCCACCACACCTCAACCCCACGCCAAGAACTGAAGGCGACTGAGTGAGGCTGAGAGCAAGAGAGACTGTCCTCCTCAGCAAAGAGCCCACCAGCTGGCTCCCCAGTGCCCAACAGTCAGCCCTGAAAAGTAACATTATACAGACTGAGCCAGTTGTATTTAGAAATATTTATGTATCTACACATATAGTTATACATTTATATATAAATGCATATGTATACAATGACAATTAGTGAAAAAAAAGAGGCCATGAATTTGAAAGAAAGCAAGGAGGGGCATATGGGAGGGTTTGGAAGGAAGAAAGAGAAGGCAGAAATGTAATTAAGAAACTATCTCAAAAATAAGCAAACAGGTAAAAAGAAATAGTTTTAAAAACTCTGATTTAGCCTATATGTGAAGCGTCTTATGAGAAACTCTTGAAGGATGGTTGGGGCTCACAACAGTCATTTTTAAGTAAGCTACCTGTACAGGAAGACAGGGGTGAGGTGTGTGGACTCAAGCGTCAGTGCAACGGGATGACCAGAAGCATGAGCTGCTTGGGGTAATAGCTCTACCTACCTTGGCCCATTTTACCAGCGCTTTCATCGAAGACGGCTGAAGGTACCTCCTAACCGGCACACTTGTCCAACGGTTAAGTAACAGCTCCTTAGGTAACACTTTACAAAGCACCTTGGCACACATGATTTCACGTCTTCTACTTCACCCATAAGGCATTGCAAATATTACAGTTTTTCCCATTTTACGAGGAAAAAAGCCAGAGACTACAAATGATAGGTTTCTAGAAGAAATTTTGAGTTGAAACCTAAGGATGGAGGGGGGCAGGTGGTGAAGGTTTTGAGGGGCTGACTGTGTGTGTGGGTGGTGGGGGGTAGGAGGATGTGTGTGTAGGTGGGGGTGGGAGGGTGTGTGTGTGAGAGGGCTGGGGGATGGGTTTGAGGGGTTGGGGGAGTGGAGAGGTGGAAGGGGCAGGGAGGGCGGGGTAGGGTGTGAGCATGTGTGTGTGTCTTTGTTTTTTTGTTGTTGCTGTTTTAATACAAGAGTTCACCATGAAGCCCAGGCTGACCTTGAACTCACTTTGTAGCTCAGGTTAGCCAGAAAGTCTCAGTCTCCTTTCTCAGCCTCCCCTCAGGCTGACACCTATGGGTTCATAATTCAAATTCTGCCTGGTTCAGGAGGTGAACAAATACTCAACAGCAGAAGCAAGTAACTACAGGCTTTTTATACTTCTAAATGCACACTGTAAGAGTGACTCCATGCATGCCTTTGTTTAAAACCATGTGAGCTGGGGAGCCAGTCTGCGTGCAAATCCCGGCCCCTTCTTGCCTTGACTGAATAGCCAACCCCTCTCTGTACTCAAGTGTCTGCATGTTTAGCAAAAGGGAGCCCTCGCTTCCTCCACCCTCCTCACTGAGAGTAACCTGGTTAATCTATATCCACTCCTGAGAGCACGCGGGCCATAGTGGAGCACACAAGTGTGACCTGTGAGTCTTCTCCGTATTCTCAAGATCCACATTTCTCAAAGAGAACCGCATCTGACCTCTGAAGCCACGCCATCCCCCAGGTGACTTTGGAGGAAGGATGTACTAATGGCACTCTGGTGGGGTAGGTGCAGAGTGAAACATGAGGTGAGGTGACTCTGTAAACAAAGTACAGAAGTCAGCAGCTTGCTACGGGATTGTGCACTCTGTCCTTGAGAGGAGGCAAAAAAAAAAAAAAAAAAAAAAAACAATGCTCAAACAGCGCTTCCCCCATTAACCAGCCAGTTGCGTCCATGTCCTGGAATAACTTACACTTCAGCTCCTCACTCAATCCCACATTCCCTAGGAAAAATCATCTGGGTGATCAGTTTCTTTGTAAAGCAGATGGTAGGCAAACACTTTCTACAAATTTATAACTTAGAATTGTAAAGGACGGGTTGCTTAATCATGACTTTCTGTCGACATGGAGCATACCTGTAATCCTAGCACTTGGGAGACTGAGATGGGGGGGGGGTGTCACTGTGAGTTGGAGGCCAAGCTGGGCTTCATAATTAATTGCAGGCCAGCCTGAAATACAAATGACTGAGATCCTGTTTCCAAAAAATGAACAACAAAGGCAAAACCAAACCAAATACAAACAAAATCAAAACTGAGTCAAGAAACTGCTGCAGACTAAAACAATTAGCTCTTGTTCAGCAAGTTGCTGGAATCCACAGGTAATGGCGTGCCTTGGTTCAGAGGCAGAAACTGACCCAGGGTCCTACTCTGCCATGGACCTGGTTTGTATCTGGGCTCTCATAGGTCCATGTGTTGAAGGCTTGATTGGCAGCCTGTGCTGTTATTGGTGGATGGTGGAACCTTAGGAGATGGGGTCAAAAGAAGGAAGGTAGGTCACTGGGACTACAGCCTTTCCTACATCTTCTACTTCACCCATAAGGCATTGCAAATATTACAGTTTTACAAATATTACAGTTCTGTGAGGTCAAGGTCAGCCTGGTCTACAAAGTGAGTCCAGGACAGCCAAAGCTACAAAGAGAAACCCTGTCTCGAAAAACCAAAACCAAAACAAAACAAAAAACAATTATGTGTATTTTATAAATACAATGCATTTATTAAATATGTAAGTATATGTGATTTAAAATGTTAAATATTGACAAGCTCTCACATCTGCATATTAACATAACCTTAAAAAAATCTTCAGTTAGACTATATGAAACCCTTAGCTTTGGTTGAGAAAATACAGTCGTCATCATGTTAAAAAAAAAAAAAAATTAGCACTTCAGTGGTTGGAAAGATGGCTCAGTGGTGAAAAGGGCTTACCCACAACCTGAATTTGGTTCCCATCAATCACAGCAAGCATCCCACAACAGCCTGTATCTCAGTGTCTGTTAATATAGTCTCCTTTTCATTTCTGAGTTTGTTAATTTGGATATTTTCTTTGTCTTTTGATTAATTGGATAAGGGTTTGTCTAGTTGATTTTCTTGTAGAACCAACTCCTTGTTTCTTTGATTCTTTATATCATTCTCTTTGTTTCTATTTTATTGGTTTTGGCCCTCAGTTTTATTATTTCCTCTTGGTGAACATCTTTTGGTTTCAAAAGTTTTCAGGTGTGTTGTTAAGTTGCTAGTATGAGAACTCTCCAGTTTCTTTATGTAGGTACTTAGTGCTCTGAATTTTATTTTTAGTGCACTTCCATTTTTTTCTATGCTGACCAGTATTTCATTGTATAATCAGACAACATTTTCTTTAGCCATTGTTCTACTGAATAACAACTGGGGATATATTTGCCTGACATTGTTCAACTGGGATATTCTGTTGGAGTGAAAGTTAATCTTAAGAAAGACAGTCATAACTCACTCAGGAGGCAGAGGCAGGCGCATCTGCCAGCCTCGCCTATGGAGTGAGTTACAGGACAGCCATGGCTACACAGAGAAACCCTGTCTCAAAAAACAAAAACAAACCCCCCCCAAAAGGAAAACAAAGACAGTCATGTGTATATTTTTTATTTATGCAATATAAATACTTATATATGGAATATAAATACATTTTGTCTGATAAATGCTTTTAAGTTAAAATCCTTTTTAGTAAATTATCTCCCTTCAGTGAAACAAATATTTATTACATAATTACTTTATAGTCATATGAAATTATGGTCCTCATTCTATTTGTAAGTTATACTTTATTTGTAACAGTGCATGTTTGTTTTCAGTCAATAGATGTTCTTCTCTTTATGTAACAAATATTTTTGAACACCTTCAAAGTCAGGTTACAGTTTTAGGCACCTCATAAAATACATACATATACACACATATACAAACTATACATAAAGATATATATCTATATAAACATACCCTTGAAAATTAAAGAATTAACGAAATGAAGGAAGGAAAAGAAAAAGAAATCTTGCGTTGACAATTTTTTTAAATTAAAGTTTAAAAATTAAAGAATGCAGTATTAGCTAGAGTATATTGTGATACAAAATCCATTTTCCAGCTTCCTGAAAACATACTTATCTTCAGATATTTTCCCATGTCCTTATTCACTTAGATCAGCACACAGCACAGGCTGGAGAGACATCTCACTCAGTCTGCAGAGCGTCCGCCCAGCTGTGTGAAAACCTGGATTCAGTTCTGCAGAAATGCAATCCCAGCACGGAAGGAGGTGTTCGGAGTTTAGGTCATCCTCAGCTACGTATCTAGTTTGGAGCCAGCCTGTGGCACATGAGAACCTGTCTCAAAATAAATTTAAGAAAAACCAAGTATATGTCATGTGTGTATACTCTACATGACCCCCTTTAGTGTGCTTTTTCGTTGAATATTATGCTTGATATTCTTGTGTTAGGTTGCAAATACTCATTCTTCCATTCGGCATATATACGGTAATATCAAAATTCATTTAGCGATTCCTCTGTGGATGAACATGTAGGGATTTTGCTCCAGTCTCATTATTAGTATAGTTATAATGTACATAATTATAATCTACTTTATTGTACATACTTGAACATAAACCCACAGGAGAACTTTAGACGGGGAGTGATAAAGTCAAACATATGCCATGGCACAAGACTGTCCTCCAAGCCGCCGTCTCCAGGAGTTTGGCTGGCTGCTTACCAAAGTCCATCACAGCTCACTCGGCCTTTTGATTCCCTTTCTTTTGGGGAGGAGGAGGGACTAAGGAAGATCATCGACTCTCACCTGAGTATCCAGTCAGCCATTTCCAACTTGTATGGAATTCTGCCATAATAGCATAGTGGCCTCGGGGACTCTGGGAAAAGCTCAGGGATACAGGATCCAGGAAAGGGACGGCCACAGAGGACTCCTTGGGAATACATGCTTGCTGGGCACAGACCTTCTCACATGGCAGGTTGAAAGTCTGTGTACCTGTGTAGCCCCTCATACATTGCTCTGTAAGTAAGCCTAAGAAACTCAGCAGCTGCCGGAGTGAACTTCAGTGGAATCATGCCGCTGTCTGTCTTTGGGATGTAGGAGAGGGGAGTAGATGTCTGTTATGTGTAAACCGCCTCTCTGCCCCTGCAAGAAAAGGAAGTTTAGCCACATGCACTTTTATTATGTTGACAGTTTCTGTATGATTTCCCTACCAAACGATTGAGCCAGTTTTATGTTTTACAGGACTTCTGAGGACGGTGTGGGGGTGATGGTGAAGGTGGTCATGGGTAGGATGGGCCATTAACTCATCTGCTGGGTGTGTGGGCTTTCCTTTCCTCCAGTGGCAGTGTCCACTGAGAACTGAGTTTTAGGACTTCCATTTGAGAAAACTGGGTCCAATGCATGGAATTACAGCTTTCTTTGCCCCCAACCTTTTTTCTCGCCATCACACAGAGACTCGGGGTACACAGCCCACTGCCAGATCAGCACTGACTGGCCCACCACAAGCAGACGTGCTTGATGTTAGCCACTGTACGTATATCAGGCTATCACAGACTCAGCCAAACTCTTTTCAGGGCGTGACCCATCTTTCCTCAAGTTACCAGTGCCCCCTAGTCCTTGTTTCCACCCGACATAGGGTCAGAACGGCCTGTGGCACCCATCTCTTCCTGTCGATGTTGGAGATGGTTCGTGTAATCTTGAAGAAGACAGGCTTTCCCTCCACGTTCCCGTTGTTCGTCCTGCACACTGAGATGATCATCGCTGATGCCCTTATCTCAGCATTGAAGCTCTTTCTAAACTGTACTTCAAAATCCT